ACACATGTAGACGGTGGACACATGTAGACGGTGGGTAGACGGTGGACACATGTAGACGGTGGGTAGACGGTGGACACATGTAGACGGTGGACACATGTAGACGGTGGACACATGTAGACGGTGGGTAGACAGTGGACACATGTAGACGGTGGGTAGACAGTGGACACATGTAGACGGTGGACACATGTAGACGGTGGACACATGTAGACGGTGGACACATGTAGACGGTGGGTAGACAGTGGACACATGTAGACGGTGGGTAGACAGTGGACACATGTAGACGGTGGACACATGTAGACGGTGGGTAGACGGTGGACACATGTAGACGGTGGGTAGACAGTGGACACATGTAGACGGTGGACACATGTAGACGGTGGACACATGTAGACGGTGGGTAGACGGTGGACACATGTAGACGGTGGACACATGTAGACGGTGGACACATGTAGACGGTGGGTAGACGGTGGACACATGTAGACGGTGGACACATGTAGACGGTGGACACATGTAGAAGGTGGGTAGACAGTGGACACATGTAGACGGTGGGTAGACGGTGGACACATGTAGACGGTGGACACATGTAGAGGGTGGCTAGACGGTGGACACATGTAGACGGTGGCTAGACGGTGGACACATGTAGACGGTGGACACATGTAGACGGTGGACACATGTAGACGGTGGACACATGTAGACGGTGGACACATGTAGACGGTGGACACATGTAGACGGTGGACACATGTAGACGGTGGACACATGTAGACGGTGGACACATGTAGACGGTGGGTAGACGGTGGACACATGTAGACGGTGGACACATGTAGACGGTGGACACATGTAGACGGTGGACACATGTAGACGGTGGACACATGTAGACGGTGGGTAGACGGTGGACACATGTAGACGGTGGACACATGTAGACGGTGGGTAGACGGTGGACACATGTAGACGGTGGACACATGTAGACGGTGGACACATGTAGACGGTGGGTAGACGGTGGACACATGTAGACGGTGGCTAGACGGTGGACACATGTAGACGGTGGGTAGACGGTGGACACATGTAGACGGTGAGTAGACGGTGGACACATGTAGACGGTGGACACATGTAGACGGTGGACACATGTAGACGGTGGACACATGTAGACGGTGGGTAGACAGTGGACACATGTAGACGGTGGACACATGTAGACGGTGGACACATGTAGACGGTGGGTAGACGGTGGACACATGTAGACGGTGGGTAGACAGTGGACACATGTAGACGGTGGACACATGTAGATGGTGGACACATGTAGACGGTGGGTAGACGGTGGACACATGTAGACGGTGGACACATGTAGACGGTGGACACATGTAGACGGTGGGTAGACGGTGGACACATGTAGACGGTGGACACATGTAGACGGTGGACACATGTAGACGGTGGGTAGACGGTGGACACATGTAGACGGTGGACACATGTAGACGGTGGACACATGTAGACGGTGGACACATGTAGACGGTGGACACATGTAGACGGTGGGTAGACGGTGGACACATGTAGACGGTGGACACATGTAGACGGTGGACACATGTAGACGGTGGACACATGTAGACGGTGGACACATGTAGACGGTGGACACATGTAGACGGTGGGTAGACGGTGGACACATGTAGAAGGTGGGTAGACGGTGGACACATGTAGACGGTGGACACATGTAGACGGTGGGTAGACAGTGGACACATGTAGACGGTGGAGACATGTAGACGGTGGACACATGTAGACGGTGGACACATGTAGACGGTGGACACATGTAGACGGTGGACACATGTAGACGGTGGACACATGTAGACGGTGGGTAGATGGTGGACACATGTAGACGGTGGACACATGTAGACGGTGGGTAGACGGTGGACACATGTAGACGGTGGACACATGTAGACGGTGGACACATGTAGACGGTGGACACATGTAGACGGTGGACACATTTAGACGGTGGACACATGTAGATGGTGGACACATGTAGACGGTGGGTAGACGGTGGACACATGTAGACGGTGGACACATGTAGACGGTGGGTAGACGGTGGACACATGTAGACGGTGGGTAGACGGTGGACACATGTAGACGGTGGACACATGTAGACGGTGGACACATGTAGACGGTGGACACATGTAGACGGTGGACACATGTAGACGATGGACACATGTAGACGGTGGACAACATGTAGACGGTGGACACATGTAGACAATGGACACATGTAGACGGTAGACACATGTAGACGGTGGGTAGACGGTGGACACTTGTAGACGCTGGACACATGTAGACGATGGACACATGTTGACGGTTGACACATGTAGACGGTGGACACATGTAGACGGTGGACACATGTAGACGGTGGACACATGTAGACGGTGGACACATGTAGACGGTGGGTAGACGGTGGACACATGTAGACGGTGGACACATGTAGACGGTGGACACATGTAGACGGTGGACACATGTAGACGGTGGGTAGACGGTGGACACATGTAGACGGTGGACACATGTAGACGGTGGACACATGTAGACGGTGGACACATGTAGACGGTGGACACATGTTGACGGTTGACACATGTAGACGATGGACACATGTTGACGGTTGACACATGTAGACGGTGGACACATGTAGACGGTGGACACATGTAGACGGTGGACACATGTAGACGGTGGACACATGTAGACGGTGGACACATGTTGACGGTTGACACATGTAGACGATGGACACATGTTGACGGTTGACACATGTAGACGGTGGACACATGTAGACGGTGGACACATGTAGACGGTGGACACATGTAGACGGTGGACACATGTAGACGGTGGACACATGTAGACGGTGGACACATGTAGACGGTGGACACATGTAGACGGTGGACACATGTAGACGGTGGACACATGTAGACGGTGGACACATGTAGACGGTGGACACATGTAGACGGTGGACACATGTAGACGTGTGATGGGTAATCAGAGTGTAGACGTATATGTCAGGTTAAGAATACAGTAATGTTGTCTTTGTCACGTGCCTCAAAAGTCGCTTTGTTTTTTTATTAAACGATTACTGCCTTAAGGTAGTGTTGACTTATTTACTGTTTTCGCTATTTTTAAAATGCGTTACTAGAAACGTGTGGCAATGTCTCGTAGGTTTTAACATAATGGTATTGAAATAGTGAATAATTAAAAGACATTATACTACAACTTTATTGTCCGCACACAAAATATATAATATATAACCTATAAAGAAATATAATGTTCACTAAAGTAAATACTTGAATTTTCTTCATAACATAATACAAATGCAATTTTTAACTTCACGTTTTCACCCTGTCTAAAAACCTTTAATCCATATATAACATCCTTCTCTGCATACCTACATTCCTAACAATCAAAATATTAAAATCCTATTTTATTTTTTACTTCTATCATAAGAAACAAATTTTTACAATATTTCTAACATAATTTATACAGTTATAATGAACGGCATTGTCCTTTGCTACCGGAAGTAAAATTTAATCTAAGGATGTCTGGGTTATGGATCGAATAGACTTTACAGAGTTACACAATTGATTACGACACTAATTACGTATTGTGTACCTACGTTAATTTTACCTCAGTACTTTAAAGTTTTGTCCGTTTAATGGCAGTAATGTATTAGTTTGGTGTGTCAGGACTTCTATGACGTCGACCGAAACTGAAACAACTTAACGGGAAACCCCGATATTACCTGTTTTTACACATAACACATTTGATCAGAAAATATACGTTACATTTATATTAAAATTTACTCTTTGAATGTAAAATGTTTCCCACAGTTTTATATATAATTAATATGTAAGTATGATTTGAAATGTAATGTGTAATTGAGAAACAGATCTTTGTGCCAAATAATATTTAATTCACAAAAATCTGCAATGCTTTATGTCAAATTATCCGTCCCTAACCTACCAGGACACTAAAATTTAGACCCTAACTTACTTGTAGATAATTAACGCACCAAACCACAACATTTAGGTCACTAACACACGAACACTTAAATTGTAGGTCACTGACACTAACACACAGCAGTTGTGTCAATACCTCTACAGCACACAACAGCTAAAACACAAGCACATTAACACACATCAAGTGACTTTGTATTATATTTGCATAAGCCATATTTCAAATGAACAATTTCGACAGTGTAATAGATATCCAACAAGACAAGAGCAAGATTAAAAAGTGAGATCTGTATTTACTAAGATGCGATCTAGAATTCAAGTCAAACATGTTACAGAACACATGAAGTTTTTGGAACAACAGATGGGAGTCATTGAACCTGCACTTCAAGCTATGAAAATTGTAAGAAATTATTTTCAGCTAACCATAGATTCATATAAAAAACAAAACTTTTCTTTCATGTTTCTTAAATCTACAGCAACTAAATACAGTTATGATGTGCAAATAAAATGAAAACATTATAACGAGTATTAAATGTGTTATCAGGCATTAGAAAAAAGTAAGACTTGGATAGAAGATAAAAATGACAAGCCGTCTATCACATACATCGAGCTATACCAGTAACTTGAATCAGCGACCACGGCCTTGTTGGATGCAACGTCACAAACCATAGGTAAATATTTTAACAATTTTATTAGATTAATTATTGGTTTATATTTATTTTCTTCATGACATATGGTCAAACAGAAGAAAAACATTTTATTGTTACCACTGTTGTAAGACACATGTAAATATATTCCTTAAACAAATTTATTAAAGTGATAATTAACAACATTTTATTGTAGTAACTACTAAAAACATATTTTATTAATTATATTTTTATAATAACTGTAGAGGGGCAAAATGTTAATGTAAAATAAACCATTACTTACATAATAATATAACAAAAAATTATATGTTTGGTTTTTATTACAACAGATGAGAACCAAGAGCACGTTGATGTCGATAAAGGAACGCCATCTTTTTCTAAGCCTACACCACAAACTACAGCAACAGAAGAACACAATCATAGTGAATCAACATATCATGTTAATAAACAAATTTCACATTCAGCAGGTACACATTAATTTAAAACTAAACCAACTATTTAACACTTAGAGTGTTCATGTGTGTACATTAAATTTGCTTTTTTTTTTAAGAATGAGTATTTATTAACTATAAAATTGTCATTAGCTTTATTTCATTCTGGAATAGAAATATTGAGTCGACTTGAGCAGATAGAGACATCCATATCTTCTCTACAAGACGCCAATGTCAAGTCTACAGATGACATATCAGAAATAAAACAATGGAGAGACAAATTTGTAACAGAACAGAGTGACATGGGGGTAAACATTGAACAACTGACTAAAAAGCAAAAGCAGAATTTTAAAAACCTCAGAAAACAAATGAGTGAACAAGATAATAAAGTAAACGAGCTGAACAAAGAAATTGATAGTTTAAAAGAAAAAGAATACAAGTCCAACAAAACACTAGAGAGATTGTCTCTAGATATAAAAGAATATAAAAACAATGTACACAAAATACATAAAGATATGCAAGATTACACAGACAAAATAGACAGTATAACACAAGAAATTAAAAGACTTGCTGATTTGATGGCTGCCCTACACAAGGAGTGTGATAAAATCGTGTGTAATACATCAACTCAATTAGAAAAGGTAAAATTGCTAATTATGTGTATTCACAAGTTTACACATACTCGCCAGATAGCTTATTATAACAAGGTTAAATAAAAAAAAAACAGTAACCTTATCACCAGTTATACTTTAATATAATTATTAATGTTAAGACACATGTTTATGTTAGATATAATATGCATTATACACGTGTCCACCGTCTACATGTGTCCACTCTGTCAATAGAGCTGTTAATACACGTTTTCTTAAATTAAATGATACATCTATAACTTTAAAAATAACACACCCTCTAAATTATTTTATATTCTTACAAGTTACCATTTAACATCAGTGAAGCTGTTGTATGTTGTACGTAACTGTGTGATTTTTTAAACTAATTTTCTTAAATCTCTTTTTAGCTTGAAACTATTGAAGATACTATTGCACTGTTGAACAAAGATTTCAATCTATTAGGTAGGTTTTGTCTGAATTTTTTTTTCAAACCAAATCGCACACAGACCATAACGTGATGTTCGTTAGCCAGACAGACCGTAATGTGATGTTCGTTAGCCAAAAAGACCATAATGTGATGTTCGTTACCCAGACAGACCATAACGTGATGTTCGCTAGCCAGACAGACCATAACGTGATGTTCGTTAGCCAGACAGACCATAACGTGATGTTCGTTAGCCAGACAGACCATAACGTGGTGTTTGTTAGCTAGACAGACCATAACGTGATGTTCGTTAGCCAGACAGACCATAACGTGATGTTCGTTAGCCAGACAGACCATAACGTGGTGTTTGTTAGCTAGACAGACCATAACGTGATAAAGAATGGAACATTTCACTCACCCATAGTGCCATTCTCTAGGCCCGTGCGTTTCCGTCAGGTGTTTGTTTCCTCACCTGGTACATTACACCACGTGGTACATTACACCACGTGGTACATTACACCACCTGGTACATTACACCACGTGGTACATTACACCACCTGGTACATTACACCACCTGGTACATTACACCACCTGGTACATTACACCACCTGGTACATTACACCACCTGGTACATTACACCACCTGGTACATTACACCACCTGGTACATTACACCACCTGGTACATTACACCACCTGGTACATTACACCACCTGGTACATTACACCACCTGGTACATTACACCACCTGGTACATTACACCACCTGGTATGTCGGGGGTCGACCTACAGCGGTCTACCCTAGTACAGTAAAACATTTACAGAGCTGCAGTATACAATTAACTAATTTATTTTTTTATTAGTTGCAATTATCGTCACAACATCCCTTCATTTTTTTTATATTAAAACCGCGTCGCATTAAATCCATGAATTAAATCAAAAACAAAATTATAACTATTAAACAACAACAAAAAATTACATTTTAACATCTCAGTATCTAATTAATTTAAATTGTCGAGAAATAAACAATAGTAAAGTTTGATAATGCGTATCTTGTCATTGGTTTTATCTAAGTCTGTTCTATACAACAGAATAACTATAGTTCAGGTGTTTTTTTTTTGTATTCATAAATCAGCCCTCTATAATTAAACTACAACGTGTACACATACGGAACATAATTAACTTGTTTTACTTTTAGCAACATTTTACGTGACCTGCTATACTTGTTTAAAATTAATACTTTCAAAACAGTTAGATGATAAACTGAGAACACTAAAACTTAGGGCGGTACTAAACTAACAGTTAAAATTAATAGTCTTAGAGAAAAATATGTAAACAATGTTAAAGGTAAATATAAATGTAGCCAACATTGTATGAATTAATTAGTCATAGCATGTTTGAAATTAAACATGTGAATCATACATGTTTTCTAATCAACAGAGTCACGTGTATGTAACAGATATGCTTGTAATGTACAGCTTGCTAGACCCACACCTGTCAGTGCTGGATCAGTTATTTCAACATTTGATGAAGTACGTGAATATAACGGTCAACATTTTAATCAAACAACAGGAAAATTTGTATCACCACATGATGGTTTATATCTTGTCTGTGTCACTCTACATGAATTGGGAGATAAACATATTCAAGTTGCTGTGGTGGCTGGAGGCGTGTGGTGTACGTCTATAGAAGTGAAATGTGCCGACACTAACGCTGGTGGGTCCGTGGCTGTTGACATGAAGAAAGGTCAAGAACTTTTCTTGTTTGTAATTCACGCAGATCCAGGGGCAACGCTATCCGGCTACAGTAGTTTTACTATCGTTAGTTTATAGAAGTACAACACAAAACATGGTGGATGGTAAATTTTTAAAAGAAAAAAATATGTAACCACCATTATAAACACACGTGAACAACTTACTATGTGTGTAGACTGCATGTCTACAAACACTTGAATGGTTTACATGATATTTGTTTAGGTATCATTTTGTTTCTATTGATTTAATATGATCACTAATTATGTTTTCTACTTGACCAACGTTATAGAATATAAGTATGTACCATTTCCTTTACTGTTTAGGAGCACAAACGTATTTGAGTACGTTTGGATTGTAAAAAAAATAAAACGTATTTATCTTGTTAAATATGTAACTGTCATCATAAGCCTTAAGACAAACCAAATGAACTTCAATAAATAAATTACAGCTTGTCTGTATTAAAAACATGTTTTTCTTTATTTAGTAACACTGTATCTTTAAATTAACAAACATCAACACAAACAAAAAACGTTACATCTATTAAACTAAATCATTATTTATATAATTATTTATATAAACATGTATATGTGTAATAAAAAGTGTAACACATAATTGCTACAAGAAACAGCGAACGTGAAATTAGAAGCACATGACACATTATCTTTATGTAAATTTAGTTGAATAAATTCTAACCTTAGAACATCGTTATTTTCATTTGACACATATTAGACTTACAAAATCATTTACTGTTGATATACATCATATATTTAATGAATATTTGACGTCAATTATATATTTTGATATATGAGAGATTTAAGTGTTAAGTGTTGTACCAGTAGACTGCTTATATCTTTTGTAACAGATTAGTGTTGATGAGTAGAATACAACAGGTTAGTTTATTAAATCTACATGATAATATTAGACATTGTTTTATTTCTACATCATTTCAAAAATAAAGTGTATAAGAAACATAACCAGAGTGTGAAATTCTGGGTCTCTTCCTTTGGCACTTTCATAAGGTACTGTTGCATCAACTCGAGGAATACGTTTAAAACTCCATGAAATATGCTATAGTGTATGAATATAACCCTTTCAAACTATACTATAGTTCTGATCATTAACAAAAAAAAAACAACACTCGCCGACTCATTTGTTTATTTGATATGGCCTAAACCCAAAGTACAGATGGACTGACCCCACACGGCCCACCAAGATCAGATGTTTTACCGTAAATGTGACCAAATATCTGACAGACCGACAACGATATAGGAGATCATAAAGACTGGCAATCAAATTTGGTATATTCGATACTCTATACTTGGTGCTAGTGTTTGACACAACTTATTAATGTGTCTTTTACTAGTCTTTGAACGATGCATCAAATCGCGGACCTTGAACAGACTATGTTATTAATAGATTTAATTATGCCTTTTACATATAAAACTCTTTAGACTTAGTTATTACAAGTATACCACCTCACATGCCCGATTTTTTTTATTTACCTTGAAGTGTATCACGCAGATCAAGGCGCAGCGTTATCCCTCTACAATAGTTTTACTATCGTTAGTTTATAGAAGTACAACACAAAACATGGTGGATGGTAAATTCTTAAAACAATAAAACATGTAACTAACATGTTAAGCACACGCTAACAACTTACTACATGTCCATAAACATTTAATGGTTTGTATGTTTTTTTTTAGTCATCATTACACAGTTCCAACTAATTCAATGTGATCACCAATTAATATGTTGTACGTGACCACAATAAATATATCCTTCTTCGTTCTTAATTTTTAGTGTTGGGAGGGATCGAGATTTATCTGCCAGAGAGTTTGAACTCGAGACTTTTTTCGAATTCATCAGCCATGAGCTTTTCCGACTCGACCATACTTCCATCACAATTAAGGATTACGTGTCAATGGGTTATGCGCCATTGAGGCCATTGACTCCGATTTCAGACTGCTTTTCTTTTTGGATTTGCTTCCATAGCTTCCTATATATATATATATATATATATATATATATATATATATATATATATATATATATATATATATATATATATATATATATATATAGCATAATAAAAGCAAGAAACATTAGGCAGGCAGAAAGTTACTTCACGTGTAATATAAACATCAGATTAAAGAAATAATAAGCCTTTTAAAAAAGTTAAAACAACTTAAAATATAAAGACATACAGTAAATAAGGAGATGCATTGTGTGCGGAGAGGGGGGGGGGGGTTCTTGGTTTAATTAGGGATTTTAAAAAAAAATGCTTAGTTTATTTAGTTGGGTTAAGGTTTAGTGAAGAATGTAATTTTTACGTAACTTAAACAAGGCTACTCGAGTTTTATTTCTTTTTTTAATGAGAAATAAACCACTAGAGCTTACGTGTTTTCGCACATCAAACAACTCTCAAGACCGTTAAGAAGATGATTCGCGTTAAAATGTACATCTGTTCGCCACAGTTTTTAAAAATAAAACAAGATCTTATTCTATATTCCAATATAATCGATCAATAAATAGCCGTTGCTAATAGTCTGTTTTCGTCTTCTGTTCTTTGTCTAGTCGTGTTAATTAAGTTAAGTGTGATTGCTTTATTTGTTGTGGCTGTTTGATTGGTGGGTTTTCATATTATCGCAAGTGTTTGGTTTGATTTCTATACTAGTATACAATCGTAATACAAAACAAGTCTACAGCTGTATGTTTACTATCAGTGAAGTAGCATTGACCTGTCTACTTTAGTGTAGGCTACCCATGGGTCTAGTTGATGTAGAGGGGCAGCGGGAGGGGTAGTCCGCTGCCGACAGTAGGGAAGCACAAAAAGCGGTAAAAGTCAATTTTAATAAGCTGAAGTTTTGAATTGTAAACGGTCAAAGTTAAGAAATTAAATGGATACAAGTCTTTTTCAACTGCTTTCTGCATAGTTTGGGTAAACGTGAAGTACACTCTTAAGAACCAGAGACCTGGAAAGATCGTTTACCATTAAGATGGGAGAGGAGGGGGTGCAATTCTGTCGGCTTAAATCGGAATGATTTATCCTGGACTGGTAGATGACTGTTATAACATTTAGAAAAGAAACCAAGCGTATTGTATAACGATAAAAAAAGTGGTAGGGGTGCGTCGCTTCTTTGCCAAGATAAATGGGGATGATTTATATCGGAATGGTAAGTAGATTAATCATTATAAATCTTAGAATAAAAACCAATTGTATTAACGCGTAATATACGATTTCACTAGCCAGTTTTGCTAGAAAATCACGCAACTAGTTCATTGTAATTAAATGCTACTGTTCTCTCAACTTCATCTTTTAATTTAACCCATCTTGCCTGGAAACATGGAATTAACTTGAAATAAATATCATGGATTCGTACGTCGCTACCTAAACAGTAAAATAGCATACTCGGTGCCTTAGTTGTTGTTACCCAATGTTTCTGCTTCTGGTAGAAGGCCTATGTGCTTTTTCGGTACGTTCTACTGCACTTACACTCGAATAATAGTGCTATTGATACCCAATGCCAGTGCTGTAGCTACAATGTTGTGGGTACTCAATGCTGAAGCAGTGGGTACTGAGTGCTGAAGTCATGTGTATTGAGTACTTGGTGTCACTGTTTGGGTACTCAGCGCTGGGGCTGTTGGTAATCGATAACATTGTTATAAGTACTCAGCTGTGGGTGCTCAGTATCACTGCTGTGGGTTAGGGTTAGGGATTTACCCTGGACTGGTAGGTAGATGGCTCTTATAACATTTAGAAAAGAAACCAAGCGTATTGTGTAACGATAAAAAAAAAAGTGGTAGGGGTGCGTCGCTTTTTTTTTGCCAAGATAAATGGCGTTGATTTATATCAGAATGTTAAGTAAATAAATCCTTATAAATCTTTGAATAAAATCCAATTGTATTGCCGCGTATTATATGATTTCACTAGCCAGTGGGTACTTAGTGCTAAATCTGTAGGTGCTCAGAGTCACTAAAGTGGGTACTCAGTGCTGAAGCTGTTGGTACTTAATAACTATGTTGTCAGTACTGGATGCCTGTATAATGCCACTGATGTGGGTACTCACCATCACTGGAGTGGGCATATTTGTCAGCATATTTTAACGCTACTGTATTGATCTCGTGGTGTACGTCTATTGTAAGTGTTATTATTGTCATGGTTACTGTGAAGACCTATCTTTGGTGGTATCCAGGATAGTGGTCGACCACCTCACTTCCTGTTGTTGTATTTAGTTTTTTATATTCTTCTCATATTTTACAATGCTATTTCAAAGCTAAATTTTTTATATTGTACCCAGCAGCATGATCACTGTTTTTCAGCATCGTTCTGTCCATATACCGAGGTCAATGAAACAGGTGAACTCTACCTCACCCGCCGCTTGGCCCGTAACGTTCGAAAGTGTACATTATATATAAAGGAGAAGACTATATTAACATCCTTCCTTATTTAGAGCTTGAAGCAACGACAGCTATGCGAAGCATCACTTTCCTGTGCACTTTTTTTTTTTCCTTGGCACCCAAGTACAATTTAATGTTTAGTTGCTGATGTCGCAAAAACGTAACCCAAAGATAGCTTCTTAAATTATTCTAATATGTGAAATAAACTGTTAATACACATAAAATAGTGAATAATAAAACTATTAGCACTTTTGTAGCTTAAATTGACTATTCATTTAGTAATAATAATCATTATAAGTGGGTTGAATTCATGAAGACACAATTTGTGTCCATGTGCTTGAGTCAACGGAGTGTGACGTCATAAAAAAGTTAGAAAACTACAGCATAAAACTATTTATGCTAAAGCTGACAATATTTCTGCTTGCGGGTCAACTGTAGTTCCGTTGAAGAAAGGTCAAGAACTATATTTTAAAGTTCAACAATCAGGATCAGGGTCTTTCCTGCAAAAAAGGAAGCGGTTTCACTATTTTAAGAATTTAGCTGAAATAATTATTGTTGTATTGGTAAACCAAAAATAAAAAATAAATAAAAAATCAGTTGATCATTACCATAAGGGTTCATTCTCGCTATCAGCTTATTTTAAACTTCATACACTAAAGAGGTAACGACGTGGCTATGCGGTAGAGTAAAAGGCTGCTAACTCGAAAGTCTCAAGATAGAATCTGGATCCAGCAGGTTCAGCGTCCCTGATTTCGTTTAACTCGGGTGTCCACCTAACTCATTAACTAAAACTTCATATTCAGTGGCGGAACTAGAAAAAAAGGGCCACCCCGCAAATTTTTTTTAGCCCCCCCCCATATATATATATATATATATATATATATATATATATATATATATATATATATATATATATATATATATATATATATATACAAACTGAAAATACGAACATAGGATACTCATTACTGGCCTGTTCGGGATTTTGAAAATGATTTTTTTCAAATAAAACAGATTACTACATCATGTAATGTATGTAAGTCAATTAGTAGGCCTATGTTTAGTGAAAATCAGTTTTAATTATCTCTGTTATAAGCCCTCTTTACCTCTAGTCGGTCAAAAGAATATAAAACATGAAAGCTTTGTATAATTAATGGTGTCTAGTGTTATGTTTATTTTTATGTTTTTTGTATTTATATTATTAATTTTAAATACATTTCCTTTTTATACAATGTCATTCTTTAGTAAGTACTATATAAAAAAAAAATTAAGAGAAGTTATTGCTTTTTAATTTGTTTAGTATAAAATCTATTAAAAGGAGCTCATGAGCACCCCTATTTGACTATTTAAAAAGGGAAATAAGTCATCGAAGTGGTATGAATGTTTGCTTATCTTTGCTAAGTTTAATTGTAGGAGAAAGTTGACTCGCCTTTCACATTGGTTTAAAAACAAAGGGAAAAAGAATATACAAGAGCGTGGGGTGGTGTCTATAGAATAAAGATAATCCAACCATCAAGTCAAAAATGCAAGAAAATTTTTTTTAAATTTAACTATATTTTTTTTATTATGGTCGTCTGTGGGCCCCAAATGGCGTCCCCCCCCCCCCCCCCGCATTGCGGGGTCTGGCGGCACTGTAGTTCCGCCCCTGTTCATATTCCGAGGTCAAGAAACACAAGAGCTCTACTTTGTCTGCCTAATGGATCGCTAGGTATGAAGAGGATTATTTACTTTATACATTGAAGATAACATGACTTTTTTCTAACTCTACCTAGCATTACTTTTACTGCATATAATATTAAGAATGTATATTTGTAATTTTATTAAGTCTTAAATAAGAAAATATTTAAAAATGGATAAAAAAAAATGATTTGACAATCATACATTATACTCTATACTTGATAAATATAATTGTATTTTGCAAATTTAACATTTTTATTTGTAATGGAAATATATAATCCTAACCCTAACCCTAACCCTAAAAACAAGTGCCTTCCGACTTATGGTGATATACGAATATACCGTTAAAATTTATGGGAAATCACTCCTGTTTTATTTCTTTTTTCTTAGTATTAGAACGTCTTAAAATAACATTTTGCAACGTACGTATGCGTTTATCACTACAAATATTAATATATTACTTTCGTACTAACCCATATCCTAAAGGGTTCTATAGCATTTAAAACAACAACTGAAACAAATAAAAAACTAGTCTGTTTAATTTCATCAATTGGACAATTTTTACTTCCTCGTATACTTATATAAACTATTATGTTGTTTGATTAAAGTTTTGACCATTATATTATTCATGTACATCTTTAAATCTTGACATGATTAAACTACGACAGAAAGTGGTGCTGCAAGCAGTATGCGACAAGCATGTTAAAATTATTATGCTACATAAATGTACTTAATTGACAAGACATACTATTTTATAATGTATAATGTTCATTTTAAATTGCATGCGAAGCATAGCTACTTTAATTTGTCTTAACATTAATTTATGTTATAACACTCAAACACAAACTCTTTGTACATTTAATTGTATGTATTCTAAAATGCAACCAAACAAAGAAGTTAAACCATTTGCTTTCAAAAATGAAGTGTAGATCATAATCCAGTATGTTCACAGATTTCTCTATAATGTGTCTGCCAGAAAAATTGAAACTTACCTGTTGAAACGATATGCACATGCATAGAATATAGGAAAATTGGATAATTAAAAACAATCGAAAATGATGTGGCGTGAAATAAACGATAAACTATTTATTTCATAAGCATGATAAAATTTATAATCTAAGTATAGTAAATCCACTTCCTCCTTGTATCTTAGCTCCATCATCAGCTTGACCGACTTTAAAATAAAGTTCTTGGCCTTTCTTCATGTCAACAATAGTTGATCCAGCGGCAGATGTGTTGGCTGATTTGACAAAAATGTTCTTATAAAATCTGTCATCCCCGTAAACACCAATTTTAATCAGTTTATCCTCCGATTCCTGCAGCGTTACAATCACAAGATAGAAACCATCATCTGGTGCTACAAGTTTTCCTGTGGTTCTATTAAAATAGCTGCCGTAAGGTTCCCAAACTTTTTTAAACGTACAAAGAGTTGATCCAGTAGTTACTGTTGTGTTGTTTTGCAATTGAATGTGACAGATGTAAGGCTGACATACACGGGTCTCTGTTGGAAAGTATATGTTAGAGTTTAATCATGAACTTTTGCACAAGTGTCTGTGTGTCTGTTCACAATTATGTGTATGTTTACTATTTAACATACCGATTGACAGATATTTATCAGAGTTGTGAAAAAGTAATAAACTGAGTACCGATTAGTTATCGTTGATAACTATACGTTGTATCTGGTACTTTTTCACGAGAAAAAAAAACTTACCATTAAATCACCATTGCTTTATGATAAGTCTGAATGAAGTATCTTTAATTATTTTTTTCCAAGAAAACTTACCGATTAAATGAAATTCTTTGGACAGCTTTGAAATGGTATTTTCAATATTTTTAAGCTAAAAAAAAAAAAGTTTAAATAAAATAAATGAAGTAAATTTCCTAAATATTAGTAAAGATATCGAAGAAATGACGCAGTGATCCACGCTTTTCTTTATATTTATTTAAATAGTAGTGTGTTATTATATGTTAAAAGAAAATCGTTTATTTTCAGCTTTTTAGACCATAATTAAATTATTACATTTTAATACATTTATTACATACCTTCTGTAATCTTTCTCCCCCTGTTTGCAAGTTCTGGTTAAAGATTTGAATCAATTTGTCAATGGGCATCAATCTTTGTTGTAGGAGTTTATACATCACATTGTGCTGAATGGATTATAACAAATTTGACTATTTCTATTGCATATGAGTTTGCAGGCTTATAGGCCAACGTGTGGTGTGCCTTCAAATTAGCTTCAAATTCGAAAGTATTGTTGTTGGAGAAATTTACTAGCTGATTTTGAAAACATGTCACTACAATTTGGAGGAAGTAAACAGGCAAGTACGTGTAAAATGGTATACCCAATTAATTAGCCTTTTAACTCTTTACCTACCTTTGATTGCACCTTTTCAAGTTTGGTGGACGAATCTACCATGATTTTATTATTATCTTTTTGTAAAGAAACGATCTGATCAGAATGTCTTTCAATTTCTTGTGCTATACTGTCTATTTTGTCTGTGTGATCTTGCATCTCTTTATTTATTTTGTGTGCATTGTTTTCATATTCTTTCATATCTAGAGACAGTTTCTCTAGTGTTTTGTTTGACTTGGTTTCTTTTTCTTTTAAACTTTCTATTTCTTTGTTCAGCTCCTTTATTTTGTTATCTTGTTCACTCATTTGTTTTATTATATTTTTAAAATTCCGCTTTTGTTTTTTAGTCAGTTGTTCAATGTTTAACCACATGTCACTCTGTTCTGATACAAAGTTGTCTCTCCATTGTTTTATTTCTGATATGTCATCTGTAGACTTGTCATTGGCGTCTTGTAGAGACAATATGGCTGTCTCTATCTGCTCAAGTCGACTGACGTCTTGTAGAGAAGATATGGCTGTCTCTATCTGCTCAAGTCGACTGACGTCTTGTAGAGAAGATATGGCTGTCTCTATCTGCTCAAGTCGACTGACGTCTTGTAGAGAAGATATGGCTGTCTCTATCTGCTCAAGTCGACTGACGTCTTGTAGAGAAGATATGGCTGTCTCTATCTGCTCAAGTCGACTGACGTCTTGTAGAGAAGATATGACTGTCTCTATCTGCTCAAGTCGACTGACGTCTTGTAGAGAAGATATGGCTGTCTCTATCTGCTCAAGTCGACTGACGTCTTGTAGAGAAGATATGGCTCTCTCTATCTGCTCAAGTCGACTGACGTCTTGTAGAGAAGATATGGCTGTCTCTATCTGCTCAAGTCGACTGACGTCTTGTAGAGAAGATATGGCTGTCTCTATCTGCTCAAGTCGACTCAATATTTCTATGATATAGTAAATTTATGTATGCAAAGTATTATTATTGTTTAAATATACTTATCCCTTGATGAAATTTAATTAAGCATCGTAACTTTTAACGTTTAAAGACATATTTTATATAAAATGTAATCGTTAATACCAGTTTGTTTTTGTTTTGATTCACTTAGGTCGAGTTTTTCTGTTGCTGTAGATTGTTGTCTAGACTGAGGTAAATATGGCGTTCTGTCCTCGACGTCTTCGTTATGTTGATACTCATCTGGTTGATACAAATCAATTATGTATTTAAAGTGTCTGAAATATTTAAAACTTTTCATTTGTGTTGGATAATGTTCTATTTATTTGGAAAATAGCACCTAATTAACTATCTACATTTACAACTGTTTTAATTTATTTTGAAAATGGTAATTAGAGTGTAATATATAATTACTTGCGTGTTCAATATACAATAAAGCACTATAAAGAAAATATATTTACGCATGACTTGTGACGCTGCACCCAACATGGCCGTTGTCGCTGAATCAAGTTCCTGGCATAACTCGATGTAGGTGATAGACGGGTTGTCATTTTTATCTTCTATCCAAGACTGACTTTTTTCTAATGCCTGATGATATTAAACACACATGTCTAGTTAAAAAACAACTTTTCTACTATTTATGATGTAAGTCTTGTGAATAGTGAATATAACAATAGAAGGTACAACGTATTCATTAACGATTGCATACCTTTTTGATCACTGAAATAGCAGGTTCTAAAACTTGAATCTTTTCCTCCAAATATCTCATGTGCTCAGTAACAAGCTTGACTTGAATTTTTGGCCGCATCTGAAATTAAACATATATAAGCTTAATGCATTAAAGTAATTTCACTAACAATATTGTTAGGTTGCTTTTTTGTTAGTATTATTTCGTCACGATTTGTATTGTTGGTTCATGTTTTTAATAATTACTTAACATCGATTAATTATTTTCATTTTTTTCTTGGAAATGTCAAGTTTCAGATTATTTCATTATTTGTTGCTGAGGCAAGATACTGAGATACCAGGGTAACTGTATGCTTGAAAAACGTAGCTAGAAACCAACATAAATCTACTTCATTAGCGTTCTAAAGTTAGGGTCACTCACTAATTTGTTCTTTTTCACAAGACAATTTTAAAAATCAAAACAATTTGCAAGACAACCCCATTCGCTGAAATGTGTATGAACCTGATGTTGTTCCATTAAATGGTATTTATTTTCCATTGTCAAACACTTATTTTGAAGCAAACATAAACATTCACAAATTTACATCAGATATAACTTTTCAACATTGGCCACTCTTCCACGCTAATATATTGAGTGCCAATTTAAAGATTTCCTTGACATTTTATGCATTAAACTCTAATAGACGTAATGTACGCGAGCGAAATTATTCGAGAGGCCCATTAAAAAATTTAAAAATCATGTATGAAGTAGTTACAATTAATATGGTTATAAAACCCTGGCTGTCTGTTTTTTACGGACTTTAACAATACTAAAGATTGGATGTAGGCCTATTTGATGTTTTCAATATTTCTGGTAACTTAATAAAAAATTTAAAAAATCAAAACAATTTGGTTTTCACGTGTAATGGCGATATAAACTATGGCATCCAGCTATATATATGCTGCAATAAATTTTATTGTACACATTGTAAGCGAAAAAAGGAACACTGGGTCATGGTGTTCAAATTTGCATTGTTATTTAAAAACATAATCTGCCAAATTTTGTTAACAAATAGTTAGCGATCACGGAGTTCCTGTACAGCCAATCAATATTTGTCTTACGAAAGTGAAACATCCGGTTATAACTTAGGCTTGATGAAAATAAAAATAAATGTAGCCGTAAACTCAACAAATTATTTTTCAAGTTCACTGGATTTGGAACTTTTATAGCATTAATTCTAAATTATTCTGAATAGATTTTATTTCTATATTTAGTTTCAAGATTATTGAGAAAAGAATCCAGATATCTTAGAAATAAAAATTCCAACAAAGTATTGCCAATTACACTCTTCATCAGTTGGTTTGAGAGTTAGATAATATTTCACTTATCCATCCTGTTTCTTTAGATTATAATCCACCATTATTTTCCAACCATTCTATAAACCATGCATAGTATATCAGATTAGCATAAAGTTTTTAAATTGTTATTGTATTGATTAATAAAAAATTAAAAGAATAAAAGTTAAGTGTCGATAAGTGTATGCGGTACTATATAGTTTACAAAAAGAAGGAAATTGTTTGTGTAGTTATCACATATGTTCACATTATTTATCAATTGAAGATCAAAAAAGCATCTATTTTTAATTTAATTAGAAGTACTGCAGATATTTCAGTTTGATCTTTTTTTTAGATTTACTTGTGTGTATGTTTGATTCCATGCTAACCTATGTTTGCTACTTGTAGTGTAAAAAGTGTTTGCTGAAGGACCAATTTGTGTAAAAAGATCATAATGTCATTTAATTTGTGAAAAATCCATTTCTAGACTCCGCGCATTCAAAATTGTCATAATTGTACATATATGGTTGTTGTACAATAAAATATACAAATAAACCCTATAGCTCTTATCAATTAATTTTTTTTCTTCTTAGGGACTGTTGATTTTAAGTTTTTTTTTGTTTTTTAAAAACTAAACCATCAGATTTTAGGCTACAAAACTAAGACCAACAGTTAACACCTAAATCCCTTCTCTGATATTAAAGGCAAATCGAAAAAACCTACACAATGATATATAACACATGTGTGTGCTGATGTTCTAACTTTACTTATGGTCAAAAGAAGCAAGCATACTGCCGGCTACTGAAAATATCACTAAAAACCCTTAGTCTGTTAAGAGTTAAGTTTTTATTTTTTATTATTTTTATTTTACGGTTGCTTTGTTTGCTAAATCTAAAAGGGCACGTTTTTATTCCATGTCAACAACATGATGGAAGGATTCTTGTCAACTCGCTCACCTCCATTAGCACTTTCGGCCACGACCCGTATTCCAGATCCTTTAATAGCTGTGTTAATTGTTGCCTTTAGGCGGATATAATTTCAAGATTTCTTGAGTCGAAAAATTCATTACTTTATATTTATATTTTCGCTAATTATTTTTGTGTTAAAAACTCATAGGCCCTAAAAGTTCGTAGGCTCAGTGCCCAATATGCCTAATGGATAAATCTGTCCGGAACACATTGGTCAGGCAAAATCAAACATAAAATATGACCTTTAGTTGTGAAAGGTAAAAACTGCAGGTACTTGTTACCTTTATAGTGGGCTAGACAACAAGAGCAGAAACAGTTATGTCCCTTTTGTTATTTAATTTGTTACACCAAGTCCGCTTAACAACACCGGGATTTCCCTTATATCACTTTCTGTTTCACAACAGCCAAATAGTTGCTTAAAGTTTCAAGAAAATGTTAGTGCTAGTTGAACGACTACCAGTCAAAAAAATCAAAATACTTTGAATAAATTAATATGCGATAAACAAATAATAGACATACAATCGAAAGTATTTGTATCTGGTTATAAAAAAAAACACAAACTTGTTGTAAATAACTTTACTTTGGTTACTTTAATAATCTTAATGCTTTACTTTATTTCTTATATATACTGTTAAGCTTATTAATAAGTATTTATTCAATACATTTGTTAAATTCTACATCATTTTGAAGTTATAAAGATGTTAAACTGATTTTCTTTATGACTAAAGACCAATATATATTGTGAGTTTACCTGATTTAACTGTGTTTTAGTTCTATGCAAGACAGCAGTCTAGTTCATCTCTTGGGTTTCCGCCATCTTTATTGAGGGAACAAAGATATTTTTATAACAGTGGGTTTTCCCGGTAGACACATTATTAGATTGTTTGCTCATTTGTTAGCTGCAGATGGTTTTAACCTAAATTTGACATTCCTATAGTAACAAACACCTTTATCATAGTGAAACAAGTTTAAATTGCATACACTTTCTAGTTACATAGAAAATGTACAACTATGTAAGATATATTTTGTACAAAAGTGTATAAAAAATCATTAAAAAATCATAAAAAATCTCAAATTTATTTCTGAAAATTCTTGGGGTGGGGGCGGGGGCACAGGTTAACGTACATACATACTTTCTATATAAAACTTATTTTTGTAAATTTCGACCATCGGTGTGTGACAGGTGGTGGGGTGTTGGGGGTATACTTTTCTTCAGGGGGAAATTTTTGAGGGTACTGCCCCCAGCCCACTTGTACATATGCCTGACTAATACTCTGCTATAAACGTGAGACTTACCCAGAGATAAATTTGCAGAACAAAGATAACAACAAATGTAGATGACACATGGCATGGAAGCCTGATGGTATTAAAGTCGTAATATTTTTTTTACGTCCGAGGTGTGTCTATCCTTGGTAATTCCTACAGCTACTAGTGTGTATGTAAACCGTGAAAGTTATGTTTTAAATGTCTCACATAATGTAACACTTTTTTCATAATATGTCACTTTTGTGAACACAGTGATACGCCGTAGCAGATAATTAAATGGGTCACACAACGTAAAGACAAACTCAAACGGGTTACAGAACATAAGACTAAATAAAACACACGCTCATTAACACTAAAGACAGTTGTATTATTTCTGCAATATGTACACAAACACAGGCGATTCTAAATTTCAAACTTGTACACAAACTAAGATTTAGTGGCTATATAAAAGTACACAGAACAGAACTTACCTACACTAGCCTGGTACAGGAATTGGAATGTCATACACAAATCTTGCACACATTATATACATGTACACAAACATTTACACAAACATGTACACAAACAGGCACACAAACATGTACTCAAACATGTACGCAAACATGTACACAAACATGTACACAAACATGTCCAAAACATGTACACAAACATGTACACTAACATGTACACAAGCATGTACGCAAACATGTACACAAACATGTACACAAACATGTACATAAAAATGTACACAAACATGTACACAAACATGTACTGAAACATGTACACAAATATATACACAAATATGTACACAAATATGTACACAAACATGTACACAAACGTGTACACAAACAGATACGCAAACATGTACACCAACAGGTACACAAACATTTAAACAAATATGTACACAAACATGTACACAAACAGGTACACAAACATTTAAACAAATATGTACACAAACATGTACACAAACAGGTACACAAACATGTATACAAACATTGCTTATATCTCCGTCTAGAATACTGCACCTAATCATTGCTTACAGTATAACAACATATGTGTGTCACCGCTTGCGTGGATACAAGATTTGGTTTAGTTCACTCACACAAGATTTGGTTTAGCTCACACACACAAGATTTGGTTTAGCTCACACACACAAGATTTGGTTTAGCTCACACACACACGATTTGGTTTAGCTCACACACACAAGATTTGGTTTAGCTCACACACACAATATTCGGTTTAGCTCACTCACACAAGATTTGGTTTATCTCACACACACAAGATTTGGTTTACCTCACACTCACAAGATTTGGTTTAGCTCACACACACAATATTTGGTTTAGCTCAAATACACAAGATTTGTTTTAGCTCACACACACAAGATTTGGTTTAGCTCACACACACAAGATTTGGTTTAGCTCACACACACAATATTTGGTTTAGCTCACTCACACGAAAAAAACGGGGAAAAAAACTTTTTAATTAAAAAGCCTTTTACATTTATTTGCGCATGTATAAGTTAGGGTACTTAAGGAAAAATATTTGGATGTACCAGGGACTCTTCTGAAAATATGGTTGCCATGGAAACGGCGGCCATCTTGGAAAAAACTACCGATGTGGAGTTCTAAAATTTCCTAAAGTAACATATAAACCGCCCATATAATCATTGATCCTTCTTAAACTAACACCAATAGAGCCAGCTGGCTAATTTTTGTTACCGAAAAACAGCTAGACATATTTTTTTCAAATTTTCAAAAAAAAATTTGGTGAAATTCCATTGAATTTAGCATTATTTCCCTTGGAATTTCGTCACACCAAATTTAGAAAATTAAAAAAAAAATATTTCTAGAGTGATTTCTGTTACAAAAACTAGCCAGCTGACTCTATTAGCGTTAGTACAAGCAGGATCAATGTTTGTATAGCCGATATTTATGTTAGTTTATGAAATTTTAAAACTCCAGAAAAGGATGTTTTTTTCAAAATGGCCGCCGTTTGAACGTTTACTTACTCCAGATTTTATCATCAAGTAGTAACATGTAATTAAAAGTCAGTTAATTAGTTTTTCTACCAGTAAACCTTTTTATTTTGGAAATCATTTCAATGCACTTTTTAAAGTCTGCACTTTTAGTTGCAATAGAAATAGTCAAATTTGTAGTAATCTCTTTAGCACAGTGTGATGTACAAACTCCTACAACAAAGGTTGATACCTATTGACAAACTGATTCAAATCTTTAACCAGAACTTGGAAACTAAGGAAGATCGATTTCATAAAGTATGTTTATAATTAGTTTATAATAAAAGCAATTTCAATAACACTTTGTTTTTAGACAACTTTTTTTTTGTTTGTAAATATTTTTATGAAGAAGCTTTCTTAGATTATTTTATATTCTTGCAAATCACCATTTCCCATAATTATATCTACAGAAATTGTATGTAATTAATTAATTCACATCATTAAAACTATTTTTCTTAAGCTTGACAAAATTGAAGATATTATCTTAACGTTGTCCAAAGATTTTCATCTAATGGGTAAGTGTCCATTGAAAAAAAAACCTTAATAAAGAATAACCTTAAAATCGAACTGTATAATAATGGTGATTCAATGGCTATACTACTTTTTTCTGGTGAAAAGTTAACATGAATAAAGATTTGACGTTAAGTACTCGATGATAACGTAATATTCGTTAGCCAGACAGACCATAACGTGATGTTCTTTAGCCAGACAGACCGTAACGTGATGTTTTTTAGCTAGACAAATCATAACGTGATGTTCGTTAGCCAGTAGACCATAACGTGATGTTCGTTAGCCAGACAGACCATAACGTGATGTTCGTTAGCCAGACAGACCATAACGTGACGTTCGTTAGCCAGAAAGACCATAACGTGATGTTCGTTAGCCAGACAGACCATAACGTGATAAAGAATGGAACATTTCACTCACCCATAGTTCCAGTCTCTAGACCCGTGGGTTTCCGTCAGGTGTTTGTTTCCTCACCTGGTACATTACACCACCTGGTATGTCGGGGGTCGACCTACAGCGGTCTACCACAGTACTGTAAGACATTTACAGAGCTGCAGATTAAAATTAACTATAAAATTAATTAATTAATTCCAAGTCACGTCATCACTTTATTGTTCTATGTTTAAGACAATGCCACATTTAAGGCAGGAATTAAATCTAAAATAAAATAGTACTTGAAAACTTTTAAATTTTAACTTTTGCAACATCTTAATATACAATTGTTTACTGTAACGTGAAATAAGTATAAATTGGGTTGACGGTGCAGATCTTGTAATCGGTTTTACTTAATTTTCATAATTACAAATGAATAGCTTTAATTCTATAAATTCTTGTTTCGATAGATAAACCTTATATAATTAATATATAATTGAACAAATACGTAATGTATGTTTATAACAAAACCCATTATATTTGTTATGCCTTTGGTGACGTATTAATTTCCCTACTACACTCGTAGTTTTAATGCTTAGGAAACGATAAACTAACACCACTAAAATATAGGACCGTATTAATCTAGTGGATCTAGTGGTTTAATTTGTGGTCTTAGACAAATTATGTAAACATAATAGATAATTATACACAATTTTAAAAAAATGTTTTATTTGGGTTAGTCATTTTACCTTACATTTTGAACTACATATAAAACACATATAATAAGTTTACGTTTAGGGTTATTATCATAAACTTACGATACGACATTTCACAAATATTCTGGATTATATAGTCATTGCATTCGTGAAATAAAACTTTTACTTAAATCATACATATGTTTTCTAATCAACAGAGTCACGTGTATGTAACAGATATGCTTGTCATTTGGTGCTTGCTCATTCAACACCTGTCAGTGCTAAATCAATTATTTCATCCTTTCATGACGTATGTGAATATAACGGTCAACATTTTAATCAAACAACAGGAACATTTGTATCACCACATGATGGTTTATATCTTGCATATGTAATACTACATGAAAGTGAAGATAAACAGATTGGAGTTGGTGTGAGGACTAATGCGATATGGTTTAACGCTATGGAAGTAAAATGTGCCCACACTAGCGCTGCAGGGTCAGTGGTTGTTGACATGAAGAAAGGTCAAGAACTTTACCTTGAAGTGTTTAAAGCTGATCAAGACGCATATTTATCCTGCTACAGTAGTTTTACTATCGTTAGTTTATAGAAGTACAACACAAAACATGGTGGATGGGAAATTCTTAAATCAATATAATATGTAACCACCATGTTAAGCACATGCTAACAACTTACTACATGTCCATAAAAATGTAATGGTTTGTATGTTGTTGTTTTTTAGTCATCATTATACAGTTCCAACTATTTCAATTTGATCACCAATTATTATGTTGTACGTGACCACACAAAACATATGAGATACATCTGTTTTTAAAAATCTTTTGTTTCTATGTATATGTGTTTCATTGTAAATGTTAGAAACAAAACCTAGCTTTTTGTGAGTAAACTATGAAATAGAAATCCGCGTTTTCGGACAAACAAAATTATCTATTAAAAAATTGGAATAAGTTCACTTGATA